AAAAAAAAGAGAATAATACGAAAAACTGTTTCTTTGCAGCACCTCAGGTAAATGAACTTCCAAAACAGACCGAGAAATTTATTCCAGTGAAAATAGAAGAATGTGGCTCATCCTGAACATCAACTCAAACTCCCTTTTCAGCTTGTCCTGCTGGAAATGTAGCATATGTGGATCCGAATTCGCAGATGCCCATTCAGTGTAATGAGGCGCTCAGCAATAGTTGTCCTACTGGCTACACCTGCACCTTCAATGCCCTAATCAACGGCCATGTGTGTTGTGGAGCTTCTGACTATGGTAAATTGTAAAGATTACTATATGACATGTCCATCGTCACTAATTAGTTCTTTGGAAACAAAAGCTTCAGTCAGTGTTTCCTTTAGGAGTGTGTCCTGATGGTGAGAAGGCATTCATTAGTACAGCTGACATGTCCCCCAGAGAATGTGTGGTGAACGTAGATGCATCTTGCCCAGCAAATTATCTATGCCGTTTCAATATGCAGAGGAATAAGTATTTTTGCTGCGCAAGCGTTTCTGGAAGTAAGTGGAAAATTCTGTAAATCTCCAATGCGCCACTTTCTAACCTTCAATCCAATTTAGGGACCTGTCCGTTGGGGAAATTTCTGCATAGAGATTCACAATCGTCACTACCCACCCGCTGTACTATGGGTAGAGCTGAGCAGTGTCCGGACGGCTATTCTTGTCAGAGCTACCTTCCCAATTCCGCACAGGGCTTTTGTTGTACAAATAGTTGTGAGTATTTAGATGAAATTAAGCAACCTCAAGTACAATGTAGTTCATTCAGCTGTTTGCCCGGATGATGCAGAGTTTGTAATTGACGAGCAGTCTCAGCTTCCAAGAGCGTGTACAATGGGATCATTCGTAGGTTGCCCTAACGGTTTTACATGCAGGTTTGGTTGTCATTGTCATTATTATGAATAGCGCATAAAAACAATATTGGTAGATCACTTACGTCAGCTGTAGAAGGATTCTGCTGCAGATCTGGGTCCTCAACTCAACTTCCTTCCACAGGTTTGAAATACACCTCAAAGTTATTGCGCTAGTAAACATGTCATACTGTCGTGGCCCTTTGTGAAAATCTTATGTTCTTTATGTAAATGGTAAAATCGCTCGTTTTACCTTATCTAATAATTTTGCCTTGTGCTTTGAGATAACAAAAATATGCGCGGCCATAAGTATTGGGCTGTCGAATAGGTTCTCGCTTCGGTTTTCTAAGGAACCGGACGTTTTGGCCACATTGTATATGATTCGAAAGTAGAAGCCTTTCTCTACAAAATATTATGCTTTTGTTAGAGATTTTGGGTTTGTTATACTAGAAATGTGAAAATATTTCCCAAGGGCTAAAAAAAACTCAACTGTCAGCTCAGCTTTTCTAGGTTTTGACTTG